TATCTTCCTTCCCTCCCTCCCTCCCTTCCTCCCAGTGGTTAGAATGCAGTATTGCAGGCTAGCTCTGTCCACTGCCAGCAGTTCAATCCTGACTGGCTCAAGGTTGACTCAGTCTTCCATCCTACCAAGGTGGGTAAAATGAGGACCCAGATTGTTTGGGGGCAATGTGCTGACTCTTAGAGAGGGCTGTAAAGCACTGTAAAGTGGTATATAAGTCTATTGCTAAATGCTATTGCTAACTTTGGAAGAACAAAAAAGAAATCTAAATTCAAAGGGGAAAATGGGCATAAAATAATTACTCATCCTACAAGACAAAAAGCAAGAAAAAAAAACCAACTTTCCTCCATTTCATCAAGCATGTCATTAAAAAAAAAAAAAAACCTCATCCTTAAAATAATGTTTCCCCGACAGTGGGGATTCCCTTGGAGCGTGGATTTCAACTCCCAGGATTCTCATCGATGGGGATGCTGGCGGTGGAATTCTGGGAGTTGAAGGCCACACTCCTTGAAATTCCCAAGATTAGAAAACTCTTTTAAGTGGACCTAATGCCTTGGTAGCAACGGGGAAGAAGAAATAAGAGCTGGCGTACCTGGGTGGACACTTTGTAAGCGACGTAGGCATTCATTCCGTCTCCTGCAGGAACAAAAAAGAGGAAAATTGAGACTCTGATAGCTTCAGCAAGCTGTAATAACCGGGACAATTAAGTAATTTGGGGTTAACGTACTTCCTCTATGGGCATCGTGTCAGCACAGAGGAATCCATTGTCAAGGACAATCGGCCGATCTTTTTCGCTAACAACCTGGGACTTCTAAAACGCTTCAACTTACCCTATTTTTTGGACTATAAGATGCACCAGAGTATAAGATGCACCATAATTTTGAAGAGATAAATTTAAAAAGAAAGTTGTTGCACTCTGCAGGCCTCCCAAACCCTTTGCACACCTCGTGTTTTTTTTTGCAAAAAAAGAGGGGGGGGGAATGCAGAGGCTTTGGGAGGCTTGTAGAGTGTTCCTGGGGGCTGGGGGGGGTCCATTTTTGGCTTGGTTTTGCCCTCCCCAGCCCTCAGGAGCACTTTGCAAGCCTCCCAAACCCTCCGCACGTCCATTTTTGCAAAGCGGACGGGGTTCCGGTAGGCCAAAAATGCTGCATTCAGTGTATAAGACGCACCCAGATTTTGACCCTCTTTTTTGAGGCAAAAAGGTGAGAGTTACACTCTGAAAAATATGGTAAATATGGGTTTCTGGCGCTCCAGCATGCATGAGGATTAGGTGCCGTGCGCGAGCATGCGAACCAGCCAGCTGGTCTTCGGTTCCTGGCACTCCAGCACATGCGCATGTTCCAGTTGGGGCATTCAGTACCCAAAAAGTTTGCCATCACTGGAGTAGAGTTTCCCCCCCCCCTCCATTCTTTCCCAGGGTAGAAAAACCATCTTATTTAGACGCTAAAGGACTAAAACCTCGCTTCCTTTCAAAACAAGAGCATTCTCTAATGCCAAATTCTCCCTCTATCAATGTTCCATCAATGCCAACCGAGCAAGGGCAACAGACATTAATATGTATGTATGTATGTATGTATGTATGTATGTGTATATATATATATATTTATATATATTTAGTGTCACAACCCCTGGTAAGCCCCAGTTATGGGAGGAAGCTAACTGCTTCCATCATCTGTCAATCGGCTCGTCACAAGAGTCCATCACGACAGAAAGCCAATATTTTTACTGTTGCCTTTGTAAAGGCAAATAAAAAAACAACAACACATACATACATACATACATACATACATACATACATACATACATACATACATACATACAATGAATTTTCAGACAGTTGTTCCACTGTTAAAGCAGTAGAACACTATAACAATAATAGAAAACATTGAACAATTCAATTGTTGGACTAAAGGTTCTCAGTGTCTCTCTGTGTGTAAAAGGCTGCCTGTCTGGC